GGGTTTCCATGAAGCAAACTGGCAGAGTTCATTCTCCCTAAGTGTCAAATTGCACAGGTAGCCACGCAGACTTCTGAAGTAACGGACGTACCGTGACGCCGGTGTTGTGGCCGTCCCTGGCTCACCCCCTCGCGCGTTCGCCTGCAAAGGAAACGCCACCTGCAGGCGGGATCATGCGACGCGGTGGAATCCGAGGTCGAAACGGGGAGCTCGTTCGTTGGAAACAACTTTTCCGACAATAACATCGGAGGAAGCGTCGTTGCGCGGGCATGTGCCTCATTCCGCTGCGGCTTTGCCGCGCCAAGAGCGGCCGCGCGCCGTGTGGCACGCTGCCGGTGAAGACGAACGGCCGCTCCGATTATATGTGGCGTTATTTATCGTGGCCGGTAGTTAACATTGCAGTGACAGCATTTTGACAGTTTGGCACATATCACGCTCTAACTGAAGAGCTACCGGCCGATTGCTTGTAACTGGGTTCATTCAATGCCTCGTTATGCTAGAAGCACGCCGAATTGCGGCTTTCAGGCTTGACGGTACTTACAAAGGCACGCGCGTCAGGCGTATTTCGACCCCACTCCCAGTGCGGAAATTAACATAGATCCTAGCGCGTATACGCAGGAGGCATGTTGTTGCACATTGTTCGTCAAAAAGCAGACTTTCACAAACAGCGTTACGTCTTGTATGCCATCATCCCATTGCTCAATTGGGCGCTTCTTACTGTGGTAGGAGGAACGAAGAGAGAGAATCAACCAGAGGACGCTGGTTGAAACCCCAAAAATGGTATGATGTTGATGAGTTTCCTCATTTCATTTGCCACTTATTTATATGATGTAAGTCGTTTGCTTTATTTAATATTCACATACCAATGGCGTTCATGGCCAGCACCCATGTCAACTCCCTTGAGCGTGCATACTGGGAAGTCTAGCCCGTCGCCGGCGTCCGTTACTCACTGCGGCCTTCAGTGCGCCGCAGCGCGCACAGCCTGCCAAGTAGCAGGCGATGTGACCCGCGCAGCCCTGTCGTCTGGGACCAGGATCTCAGCCGGCACCCACCACCAGAAAGCGGCAGCAGGCTGGGCACTGTGGCGCGGTTACTGACCAGCGGTCGTGCCGTTCTTGATCGCTTCCGGGGCAGTTGACGAACGAGCGTAACCTCGCATTCCATCAATTACAGATGCCCCCCCCCCCTCATCAACACCTCACGCTGCCAACACCAGATGGCATGGCGCCGTGCCGGCCGCGGACGTGTCGGCGTTCTCGGCTGCCGCCTGCAGCCCAGGCAGGCGTCCGGCGCACGGCTGCATGTGTTGGCCAAACCGCCCCCCCCCCCCCCCAAGGATGTCGGAAGCCGTGACCTCTCCGGCCGGGCGGCAGCTGATCGGTGCGTGTTTTTCGGGCCGGGTGACAGCGAGGGTCGGCTGGTTCAGTCGGCCGTCGGCGGCCGCTGCTGAGGCCGCTACATGGCAGACCCCTGGACTTGGACTGTTGCGGACGGCAGGCCCGGCTCCAGACCCAGGAGTGGCAGGCTCTGCTGTATATCGGAATGAGCAGCTGAAGTGAAGACGAGCCAGAAACACTGGCGGGGGTGGTCAGTCATACGCAGAGTTTGCTGCTCCACAAGCAACTGGGCACCTAGTTCAAAACTATCAATTAGCAACCGGTCTTGACAACTTTCCGCCATCTTCATCAGATGGAGGGTGTCCAGGTCATGGTCAGTTATCGTGTTGCCACATGCAAAAACATGGCGTGAAGTAAACCAGCAAGAACGGTAGTCGCTTGATTGAAACAGCTGTGTTTGTTCAATGGCGCGATATTTTTGATGTATCTGTTGTAACGCGGCAGCTGTTTTAGTCCGGGGAGATACTCGTCACCATTCGGACTTTACGACGCACTCAGCTGCTGAGGTTATATGGCGTCGCCTGCCTCTCACCCTGGCGGGGTGGACGGGCACCACGGGAAATCGCGCCCCTTACCTCTGGTTTCCCAGACGTGCATTAGTCAACGCAGGTGCGTTAACCAGTACACTTTCAACACTCTTCGGAAAGATACTGAAGTGCGTTTGGTGACGACTCTAGTCTTGCATAGCTAAGCGCGTAAATCATGTTATGAAACGAATTCCCCATGCTCCTTTTCAGACAAAACCGGTTACCTGTGTGGCAGGACCCCGGGCCACCCCACGTCACACCAGTTGTAGCTATCCAATAAAGTATCGTTGGGAGTTCTGGCAAGCTATCTGATGTATTCGAAACGGTCACATCACTAGCGTCCAACTAGGAAAAACGTTCAACCCTGCCTGACAATCTAACAACAGATCGAGTCCAGTTCGCCAAATCCCACCCCAAGTCGTCAGAGGTCAGCTACGTGCTCAGGTCTGCGTGCACGGCCCGCTGAATTGGCTCAGTCGTATCGGCAGCGCAGCAGCGGACCGGTGTAGACGGACGCTGTGGAAGCTACATAAATACTGCACCTTCGTGCGCCGAGCCGAGCCGATGCCGGCCCTGAAGCAGTCGCAGCCAGCGAGACCCCGCCCCGGCAGCACAGGTGTGCGACCGCCGGCAGCCCCAGGCCGCGGCCTAGTGCAGCGTCAACTCGTGTTCAAGCGCACGTGTGAAGGCCAGATGATCAGGTTTTCCATTTATAGTAGTGCTGAAATCACTGCATTCGACCACGGACTCGACTTGGCTGCTTCGACGGGTTTGCCGGCCGTCTACCGTGGCATAGTCAAAGCACGTGCTCGGCGAATTTCGGATATTCCGCCACGCACACATCGCATTGCTTTCAAGATGCTCAACATAACTAATGAGGGCAAAGACTGAACAAACAAAAACCCGCTCCCTCCGAGCCCAGGTCAAATATAATTGTTTTCGCAGCAGGAAGTTGCTTTGGACCAGATTAAATCCTACTGCTTGGAACTAAGGGTCGCTCACGAAATGAACGTAGCCCTTCAGTTGAGATTCTCGAATTATTGGTAGCTCCGAGGTTCACAGGTAGTTGCGTTCGTTTTGAGATCTGACCCGAAGGTCCCTCGGTTTCAAAATCATTGCTTTGATTTGAAAACCACCAGGGTGGCAGGCGTATCTTTGCCCCGAGGCTAAGGGACACATCAGTGTTTTCCGCAAAGTACCTCAGTTGGTCACAGGCAGTAATGTGTATTGCCACAGCAAATTGGTACATGCCATGTTTTTCATAAGTGAATGCGCTCTTAAAATGCTCTTTCGGAAAAAAATATGGCACACTATACGGTGAGGACAATGTTCCCGAGGGTGTGTCTTTACGCATCTCCAAAAGTCAGGTACGATTTCTCACGCGCTGTCGAGCCTGCAATCCGACCTGACCCGACTCCAGCGCGGTCGGCTCCGGCCCAGCAGTCCGCGTCCGCTCGGCGCAAGGCCCCTCCTCAGATGGACAAAAACCTGGCCCGCTCCGGCCCGACCACTGGTGTCCGAACAGCGAGCGTTAGCAAAACTATCCTGAGGGAGCAATTCTCCAGAAATATCAGCTTGCGGTACAGGCACCAGACCACACCTCCCCGGGACTCGGTAGCTTGCGGTACAGGCACCAGACCACACCTCCCCGGGACTCGGCAGTTGGCGTTACAGGCACCAGACCACACTTCCCCGGGACTCGGCAGTTGGCGTTACAGGCACCAAACCACACCTTCCCGGGACTCGGCAGTTGGCGGTTGCGCCATTTCAAGGCTACTTTTTACGAACAGCGGATGTGCGGTCGGCACGCGCGAAGACATGGAGTCGGCTCTTTGCAGCCTCGCGCAGGCTTTCGCGACGAAGCCCCAATTTTTTAGTTATTGTTGCGGCAGAAAAATCCTGTAAAAATGCGTCATCCCCAGTCCATTTAAGAAAAACACAAGATGTTTTTGTAGCAAAACAGTCTTGCACCAAAATGCCTCTAGCAAAACCGGCTGAGGGCATCCATTTAGCATTGCATCATGCCCGATTTGTTTGTTACAATGTTTATCTAGCATTGCATCTTACGTTTTTTTTAGTGATGTTTCTTTTGCCAGCCAGTCGTGAAGCCCATCAGCCCACCGAACCCTGTCAGCTCATAGGACAGCCCTGTTCATCGTAGATGAGTCTAATGCCACCACCTCTTCAGCGTGACCAAACCCGCCCAAACTATGCGCGATGCTTGCGATGCCTTGGTCGCGACCACCACAAGCACAATCATCGTGAGGCTGTGTGCGTCTCCCTGCTGCGATCACCAGTTCTGACTGCCCAGTCAGTCATGCCCCGTAGTAACACCCCATAACCCAAACCCACAGGCCTAGAGTCAGTCAGCCCATCTGAGTAGCATACGTACGTATCTGTGAATATCGCTCACCACACCCCACATGAAACTGGCCATTCTAGTGCATTGATAGGACCCATCAGCATTGTTTCCGAACGGCCTGCCGTAATTCGCAGGCTTCGATGTGAATGAGCCTGCCTTAACGGTGATGATGATAATGCGTCCTATCATCTTTTGACCCCCGCTGAGCAAGTCACCTTCATGATTCTCACGTATACATGACTTGCCTCCAGTGTCTGGGGCATCAAATGGCCCGTGATTTAACACTTAAACAACCGCAAATGGCCATGGATGTAAACAAACACACAGCGTATCTAAGATATATTAACATTTTTACATATATCCAGACACCTTTACATGGCACACGAGCCATTAGTAGTTGCCCGTCTTCAAATGGTCGGCACGCACCCTTTGAAGACTCCCTGAATGGTTTCTCCTCCAAAGCAGCAGTGGCCTTCGCAGTGAGAGAACGCCGCATTCTAAAGCCAGTCGAAAACCATCCGCGGCACCCGAAAAGGACAACAGTCGCCGCTCAGTGTCTCCGTGACACATTCACGGCTCATCCACTGCTGCGGCCCCGCAGCCAGCAGAGCCAGGTCTAGACCCACACAGACACGCCGCGCCTCGACACCCGTCGCGCCTGAAGCGAGCGCGCCGCGCGCCACGACGCCAGAGACCGCCACCCGGCTCACTCACCTCCGGGTCCTCATTGACAAAGTCCTTCAGCATGTCAGCCACGTCGGGCGCCAGCTCGGCGTCGCCGGCAGCCGGCGAGGCGCCGCGGCGGGGGCCGCTTCGTCTCCAGGATCTCCACCTCGTCCTCGTCCTCGTCCTTGTCCGGCGAGCGGCGGCCGCCCGACGAGCGCTCGTCGTCGCTGGCCTCGAGCACGATCGAGCGCTGGTCGTCGGCCAGCTCGACCGAGCGGCGGCCCCCGCTCTCTGAGCCCGAGCTCTCGCCGCTCGAGGAGGCGATGGTAACGGTAGTGACAACGGTGACGGCGCGAGACCTGGCTGCCGGCGGCTTGCTGTCGGGCGGCGGGCCCGGCGGCGCCGGACTCGTCGCATCGCTGCCACCCTCAGCGTCGCGGCTCGGGCCGGCGGCGGCCGCCACGGCCGGGCTTTCCGTCAGCGGCCCGGCGCGGCGCCGTCTCTGTCGGCCGGAAGCCCGCCGGCGCCGGCCGACCAGGGCCCTCCACCGGCTGGAGAGGGTCCCCCTCCCCACGGGCAGGGTCGTCCATCTGCCGGAGAGTGTGCCTTACCCGCCGGAGACGGCTCTCCGTCGGTCGGCGGGTGCCCATGGCCGACCGACGACAGCCGGTCCTCTGCATCCACCGATTGCTGCTCGGCGGCTGGGGCCAGCTTGCTGTAGGCGCTCAGGTCGACGGGAAAGAAGAGCGCCGGGTAGCTGGGGTGCACGGCACGCATGCACAGTGCCTGACCGTCCTGGCAGACTGATGACACCTATCGGCAGGATGACCTCTGATCAGACAACCTGCATTAGACAGCCTGGAGCGCAACTATGCAAACACCACACCCGGCTTACTACAGCAATCCCGCCCTCAGCGCAGTTGAGTTGCCTCGCTACTTATTAAGCAGCCGGCGATGATGCGCTGTATCAGAGCCTCGAACAAACCACTGTTTTGACCATCGCTTTTTGTTCTGCCGATGCGATGCGCATCGATGCCTGTTCCACGTGTCTTATCGATTCCCGGCACACGCACGCACGCACAGTCGGCTCAGTCCGGGAGGCCGCCGGCTCACCGTCGGGTCGGAGTCGCGCGTGCCGTGCGCGAACATCGGCACGGCGAACTGCAGCGGCGCCGGCCACTGCGAGTGTGGATCAGCCACGAGCGCGCGCAGCAGCCGGTACAGCGCCGCCCGGCACTGAGGCTGGCCGTACGGCGGCGGCGGCTGCGACGAGCGCTGCACCTCCAGCAGCTGGGTCACGGCCAGCGACTGGAGAGACTGGGGACCGGGCAGGGCACGGGTCAGAGACGGCACCCAGGAGCACTGCCAGCGACTGTAGGTACTGGGGACCGGGCAGGGCACGGGTCAGAGACGGCACCCTGGAGCACCGCTGCCAGCGACTGCAGAGACTGGGGGTCGGCACAGGTCAGAGACGGCACCCAGGAACACCGCTGCCAGCGACTGTAGAGACTGGGGACCGGGCAGGGCACGGGTCAGAGACGGCACCCTGGAGCACCGCTGCCAACGACTGAAAGCTTGTGTACCACAGCATGCCATCACAAAACAATCAGTAATGGTATGGGTACGGACACGGTCACTGAGATCGGCTACCGAGCGCGCCGCAACCGACGGCCCAACTGCTGCAAGCAGTATCAGAGACGAATCCAAACAAACGAGATTGCTGCCAGTCTGGTACATTACATTTCTCGTTTTGTCCTAGTTTTGACCCACGCGGACGCCAGCCGGTGCCGGCAGTGGGGGCCACAGGCCGGCCGGCCGTGCACCCCAGCACTGCCCCTGCCGGGCGCGGCGGCTCCGAGCCGGGCGTACCTTGTGCACGGGCGGCTTGAGCAGCGGACCGAGCGCGCTGACCAGCTGGGCCAACGTCTGCAGCGCCGCTTGGCAGCGGCCGGCGGCGGCGGCGGGCGGGCGCGCCCGCTCGACCGGCGCCGGCTCCAGCCACCCGGCAGCCGACCGCCGCTTCTTCTTGGCAGCCGACGGCGCCACGCCGTTGGTGGATCCCGCAGCCTGGCACGGACAGGAACGTGGTCAGGGCGGCGCTCGGTCCCACCGGGCGGTACTCGTCATCGTCACGGCGGTATTCGGTCCTCCCGGTCATCGTCAGGGTAGTGCTCGGTCCTCCCGGTCATCGTCAGAGCGGTACTCAGTCCTCCCGGTCATCGTCAGGACTGCGCTCTGTGGGTGGGCGGTGGGGGGGATGAGCGATCGTATGATCTCTAAATAACACGTGAAAGGGAGGTCCTGCTTCGACACAAGTTTCTTGAAAAACGCAAATTTCAACTACCACTGGTTGTCCTTCAAGGACCATTTAAAACGTGATGAAGGCTAGATGTCCTGCCATCCGATGAGCCACTCACAGGGCGCTGCTCAGGAACCCGTACTTCACAAACACGGGTTAGCATGTTCTTAACTTCAGGCTGAAGCATTCGCCTATTTTCGATTTCCAAAGAGGATTGCCTTGTTTCACGGAGCGACTCGAGTATTGCTGCTATCCTTCAGCCAACGTGACCGACCTTTCACCGTGTTAATGAAGAAAAGTACCCTGGTTAAGATAGTGGTGAGAACGGTACTCGGGGACTCTCCGTTGTCTACAATGCCTTTGCAAAAGTTGGACTAGCTCAACATATCCTTCACTGACATGCGATGCAGAAACTCTAGTCACTCCTGATACTGATGGCCGTTGGCCATTGAGGAGCTGGCCTCTGCCGCGTTTGGTCAGGCAACCGGTCTGACTGACCTGGAACGTCAGTGTGACCGTCTGACGGACCTGGAACGTCAGTGTGACCGTCTGACTGACCTGGAACGTCAGTGTGACCGTCTGACTGACCTGGAACGTCAGTGTGACCGTCTGACTGACCTGGAGCGTCAGTGTGACCTTCTGACTGACCTGGAACGTCAGTGTGACCGTCTGACTGATCTGGAGCGTCAATGTGACCGTCTGACTGACCTGAAGTGTCAATGCGACCGTCTGACTGACCTGGAACGTCGGTGTGACCGTCTGACTGACCTGGAGTGTCAATGTGACCGTCTGACAGTGTGGTCAGACCGTCTGACTGTCTGTGACCGTCTCACAGTGTGGTCAGACCGTCTGACTGACCTGGAGCGTCAGTGTGGCCATCAGACTGACCTGATGCGTCAGTGTGACCGCCTGACTGACCTGGAGTGCCAGTGTGACTGTCTGGCCGACCTCAGTGTTAGTGTGACCGCCTGACTGACCTGGAGAGTCGTTGTGGCCGTCTGACTGACCTTGACGTCAGTGTGACCTTCTGACTGACCTGGAGCGTCAATGTGACCGCCTGACTGACCTGGAGCGTCAGTGTGGCCGTCGGACTGACCTGATGCGTCAATGTGACCGTCTGACTGACCTGATGCGTCAGTGTGACCGTCTGACTGGCCTGGAGCGTCAGTGTGACCGTCTGACTGACCTGGAGCGTCAATGTGACCGTCTGACTGACCTGGAGCGTCAGTGTGGCCGTCTGACTGACCTGGAGCGTCAGTGTGACCGTCTGACTGACCTGATGCGTCAGTGTGACCGCCTGACTGACCTGGAGCGTCAGTGTGGCCGGCAGCGGCGGCCGGACGTCGGCGGCGAGCGCAGTCACCAGCCGCTCCCCATCCGCCTGCAGGTTGCTGCCGGCGCCCACGGCCAGCATCCAAGCGCGCAGTGTGCGCAGGGCCTGACAGTGCGCCGCGTCCGCCGCCGGCGACAGGGGCGGCGCGGCGCCGGTCGCCGGCTGCAGCGCGCTCAGCAGCAGCCGGTTCAGCAGTGAGGCGCGCAGCAGCAGGCTGGTGCCGCAGCTGCCGGACGGCGCACGGTCAGAAACACGCGCACACGAGCGCGCGCGCGAACACCAAAGGCGACGGGATACATCAAACAATGCGGCAGGGTCAGGGTGATCACTTGTCTCGGGGCACTTCAGATGCTGAGGCCCTATTCAAAGGACGTAGCGTGTGTACAGACCAGTGAGAGGTGCGTTTCAAATACACCTTAAATGATCTGGTGACACATATTGTTGGGATCCATGCCTCTGTGCGGGAGCGAGCGACAAAGAAAGGCAATGTGGAATCGCACAAGCAGGGGCGTACGCGGGCTGCCGCGATGTCAGGCCTGCAACCTAAAATTTTCACTGAAAACTAAGTTAAGCAGCGGACGCAGAGCAGGGTGCCCGCAGCGGACGCAGCGGACGCGACAAACTTATTGCATGGCACAAAAAACATGGCGTGTTCTTGAGCACGTGTGACGTGCGCGCGCCACTATGAGCGCGCTACATTGCGTACAATCGGTGAGGCCATGGTAAACTGTGAGAAAATTACACTTTGGTCATCTAGTGAAGCCTGCCGTGACATCACGTCGAGTACCGATGACTGATCCAGCTCGAGACCCCTCCCTCCGTGTCCTGAGAGAGGTGGTGGCGATGGGCCGCCCAGCACCGACTCACCAGGCGACGAGCGCCTCGAGAAGGCGGAGCGCAGCGGCGCGCACCTCCTGCAGACAGCGGAGGGCGGCGCACAGCTCGAGCGCGGCCGGCGCGGCGTCGGCGCCGGCCGCCAGACACCGGCACACCAGGTCCAGCAGCGCCGCCACCGGCACCGACACCGGCTGCTGCGTGGCAGAGCTGTCGGGGCGAGGTTTGCGTCGGGTGAGGCCGACCGCCGGCAGTCCCGGTGTAGTGGTGACCGCCCGACGTGTATGAACCAGTTCTGTTCGAGCGTCTACACTGCAGCACGTCATGGGCCGCTTACAGAGCACGCACACTCATTTATCCGAGTCCGCCCAGAACAAACGTTGGTGTATACCGAAAACATCGCTGAGGAAGGCCGTAATACACATAATAATATTGATCAGACAACAGCACCAGAGCTTTCATTCCGGCTAGGGCTAACACATTCAAACATCTGAAAACATCTGGAACACTTTTTGAGCATAGCCCTTAAGCACAAAGCCCCGGACGTTCCCTCTCCTCTCCCCCGGAATCTGCACCCCTGCGCTGTTCCCTGTACCCCGAGCATGCCCCATGCAC